AGTCGTCTTTGTTTCGGGGGCGGTGAGCGGTTCAGGGGGTTCAAGGATCAAAGGGGTTGTTGCTATTGGGGTCTAACTAACGGTTTGGAGTCAACAGCTTCTGACGATACTGAAACTGTTGGAGGATACTTGGCAAGAGGCGGGGTATTTAGTAGGTTTGTCCAATTGTTGTTGTTTGCAGGGTCTTTTTTTGCAGGTTCGGGCCCCCAACACATGTTGAAGGGTGCCAAGTCTCCGGACAATACTTGAGCCCCCGGCTTCCACAAGCCCAAAGAGTCCAAGTAACAGTATAGCCGAACCGGATATACTGTCGGGGCCCAAATATTTACTAAGAGCCAGACCACACTATAGTGTTACTTGGGCCCCTTTGGGAAGAAAGCTTACAGGCCCTCCTCCAGCGCCACGTGGCTTTGCCGGCAGATGCCGCATCCCCTCCACGGACGCAGCAGGTGGCCTTCTGGGTAGTGTTTGTTGGGCAGCTATCAAGCACAGACCCCTGAGCTGCTCGAAAGAACATGTGTTGAACCCAACCCAATCACCCTGAGAATCATGAAATGCTTGTACTTCATTTTCCGGCCTCAACCCAGCCCGAAGCTCTAAACGAAGATGCGAACTGCACAGTGCCAGGTCTGTCGAGATCTCGTCAAGTTCCTTTCGTCTCGGGCGCACCTTCATGGGAAGGTACGAGCCTTACCATCTAATAGCTCGCAGCCATGTGAAGCCGAATCACTCCGCTGTCGTTCTTGCTTGAGGGCACTTGTACGCCTCCCTTTCACCTATTATAGGGGCCTAAATAATTACNNCTATTTTTTTTGGGGGGGGGTTCCTGATTATAGTTATAGCATAATACAACCCAAAACCCTATTCTAATTATTATAAGGCCCCTGCATTACTTACTAAGAAGTCCTCTGAGCCTCCAAGTATCGACACCCGAGTGCAAGACTGGCCTCATCTCCGTCATTCTTCGGTCGCGACCATCGGTTTTGGAATTCATGAGACGGACAAGATGTCGTTTCCTGTGTTTTCTACCGGATCGTGGCCGTAACAGTGCTGGTGTACCTAAAGGTTGTATTGCAATGGAGACTGCAGGTATAGGCTTAAACGTTCGGATGCAACGTTCCATTGCATTGCAAGGTGGCCTGGACTTTTGCATCATGGACGAGCCTGGAGGCACTCTGTCGGTAGGGTACTTCTTTTAAAATTGGAGTTATCGTGAAGGTGTGTTGGTATGTCAGTCAGCGACATGGCTTTTATAAGAAGTGTCTTGATGCACGACAGCCACGAACATGCCATGCCAATGCGCATTTTGCATGCCTCATCAAGAGCAGATACACGAATCTGAGAAGCACCTGCACTCCTAAATGTGCCTAGTGTCTGTCACCCTTGAGCTACTTTGCAGCTCAGCTTTGTGACAGCGGTGGTAGGTCGGTTGAGATCATTTTATGTTGCTTCAGTTAGAGAGCGAGAGATGGTTGAGTGCAGAAAGAGGCGAGGTGCCCTGTGCATGTGCGAGTGTTTGGATGAATTCGGCAGTGTTTGGACATCTTCTTGCCACAAAGGGCCACACAGTCAACGACATCTATAGACAACTAGGCAACTTCTCAGA